CAAAATAAACTGCAAAATAAATAACAAAATAAATAGACTGGTACATAAGAACAAACTGTACCTCATAGAATCTGTGATGCACGGACATGCATAAACAAAATGAACAAAAAAAAAAAAACGATTTAATCTCTCACAAATATTGTTTTTTTTTTTCACCTTAAAAAAAAAAATATATATATATATATTGAACGAATTACTCTACTTCATAAACCTAATTGTCGTAACAGGAAAAGGTGGTTATACATTAAAGATGCTACTTAAAAATAGGATGAAGGTTCTAAATCACAGCTAAATGAAAAAAAATTTTTTCTTTTTTTGATTTATCCCTTCCGTGTTTCTGTTCTATTTTTTCGATTTAGTAATGTAAGTATTTTTTTGTTGCCTTGTTATTTTTACTGCTATTCTTTTTCCTTCCAATTATCCTCTTCTTTCCCCGTCCTATTCTGCTCTTTTTTCCCCCTTCCTATTCTGCTCTTTTTTCCCCCTTCCTATTCTGCTCTTTTTTCCCCCTTCCTATTCTGCTCTTTTTTCCCCCTTCCTATTCTTCTGTTCTTTCCGCTTCCTTTTCCGTTCCTGTCTGTTTAATACCGATTAAAAGTATTCGCCCCCTTTTTATAAATCCCGTGGACGACGGTCGCGCCATTAATCGAACCAAGTATACAGCACTAAAAAGCGCTCCTCAGTATAACTAACTATTCTTCGAAAAAGTATATAAGAAAACATGGAAGGAAATGCACTTCAGAATAGCAAATTAGCTCCACTCAACCTGGCCCCTCCTGTCATAAATGCGGCAATAAATGTCGCCAAAAGACTGATAGAAAAGCTTATCGTTTCGGCAGTCTCCGATCTAGTTTTAGCAGTGACGACTTTCATTCTATGTAATCTATATAATGAATTTAAAAAAATGAAGGTATGGTATACCACAAGTTTGTGCACACTATACTATGTGCACATTTGAATTGCACCCATCCCCTGTCCTTTAAGATCACAAATGAAACCTAGCTAAGTTATACTAACATTACACATATTCTTATCTTCTTATTCTTCCACTCCGAACCCTAGACGCAAATCCGACTGCCGCGAGAAAACGACAAAATATTCTACGATGAGCTGGAAACTCCAGATGGAGATCTCAGCACGGAAGAGAAAATTGAAAAACAGCTAAGGGAAGTAGAAAATCATAACAGAAAAGTAAAAAAATTACAGGATTGGTTTAAAGATGTAGAAAAGCGAGTAAAAACAGAAAGGAAGAAGATAGATTTAGTAACAGGAAGAGCCAAAAGTGACGATTTAATAAAAAGAACAAAAGAAACATCACAGTATGTAACCAAACCGGAACAAGAAATAAAGTTAGATGATAACGAAGAAAAAGAAATAATGGAAAATGGAGTTAAAAAAATTCAAAACGGGTTACGCATAATAGAAGAATTGATAGAAAAACTTGATGACGGCACAGGGAAATTTCCGAAAGACAATTTAGGATCATATAAGCAGGAAATAGAAATCCCTGAGGATAAAGTCGCAGAATTTGATGAAGGCCTAGAATTATTTCAACAAGGCTTAAAACTAATTGAAGCTCGCGTAAAGAACACTGCAGGAGAAGATGAAATAGAAGAAATAAAGATAGAACTAGAAGAGGATAACGAAGAAGAAGATGGGGTTAATTCATCTCTCTATTTATATTCCCAAGATGCAGTCATACAGGCACCACCTTTAGCATCAGAGCCAGAAGCATACGAAGGCAGGATGGCCTTAGTAGAAAAGTGGATAAACGAAATAGATGAAACGAGAAAAAATGAAGCAATGAAGATAAAGGAAGGAGTAGAGGCGGAAGTTAAACCACCCGAATCATATGCACAAGACGCAGGAAACACAAGTGGACAAGTAGAACAAAACAAAGTGAAAGAAGAAACACATGATAATGAATACGAAGAAGAACAAAGCCTGGAAGAAGAACCAAATGGCGAAATGACAGAAGAGTGGAAAGCAGAGGAATGGAAAAAATGGATGAACAATACAGAAAAAGAGTGGGGGAATTCTATACAATCCTTTGAACATCATAAGCAAAAGTGGATTGAAAAAAAGGAAAGTCAATGGAAAGAATGGCTCACAAATATTCAGTACAATTGGGTTGCATTTACAAACAAATTGGAAGGAGATTATATAGACAATAAAGAAAACGATTGGACGAAATGGGATGAAAAGGAATGGAAAGGAATAATCGAAATGGAGTGGAAAAGACCTATGAAAGTAAAGTGGACAAAATTAGTAGAAAAAAATGAAGAAAATTATGCAGGTGAGCTTTTTAATTATTGGGATAATTGGAAACAGAAAAAATGGAACCAATGGGAAAATAAAAACTGGAAAAAGAAAGAAGAGGAAAAGTGGAATAATTTCGAAAAACGTAAAGATTTAAATGAAGATGAAGAACGGAAAGATTTAAATAAAGATGAAAATTGGAAGGAATGGAAAGAAAGATTGTTAAGAGAAAAACAGGAATGGGAAAATTGGGTCAACGAAAAGGAACATTTCCTAATAGATAAAGAAGAGAAACACTGGGAAAAATGGAAAAAATACAAGTGGAATTACCTGACTGTATGGATCAAGCAACTCGAAGCGGACTGGTTAAAGGTCAAACCGTGGGAAGTATGGAAACAGGCAAGGATCTATTTCTACGAATCAAACGTAAAAGTGGAAGATGATGTGCAACACAATGAAGGAGAGATTTCACTGAGCTCTTAAAATGAAATGTTACCAGATCTGTTACGAAAAAAAAGGGAACAAATGTTACCCTATCTGTGACGAAAACAAAAGAAGAATCTTTGGAAATTTTTCATAACATCAAACGTCACCTCTCACCATTGAAACCCCGCCAAAATAATCAAACGGGGACACACACCCCATAACGTAAATAGGCGACTTCTAAGAAGACGTGTCACCGTAACGTCATGCGCATCGAGTCCTATTTGTCCGACCTCCCAATTTGTTCAATTTGCCCTCCAAAAAAAATGTGAAATGTGTGTTAACACTTTTCCAAGTGAATCTCACGTGGGAATTTTTAAGTACTTCGTTTTTTTTCTCTTCCAAATTGTTTGACTTCAGATGACAACTGTAAGTGTTATAAAAGGCTCATTTTTTGAAATGGCCTTCTTACTTCTTTTTATTCGTTATACAATTCGCGTGTGTTCATTGCGTTTCGCTCAATTTGTTTACCTCATAAAGCTTTAGCAGTATATTTCCACTGTAGAATGACAGTCACCTACATCTCCTCATTAACTGCTAGTTTTAGTGATTATCTTAAATGCTTTATTTTTGTTTATTTTTTTCCCTCCCATAATTTTTCGTAAATTTGGGTACGCTCGTTAATCATCCCTTCAATATGCACCATGAAGAATATACATATATATTTATGATTACACGGCGGGGGGTGAGTTACTCCCTCCTCTGTATGGATAGACAACGAAAAAGGATTACACAGGGCAATTACGCTGTTAAGTACTTTTCTATTCGATGTGGGACATGCCGGTAGATGCGCTCTTATTTTCCTGTTCAAACAGTTCCCTTGCGACCAGTTGTCCCTTTTATTAAGTTCGCATAAACATCAACAAACACGCTTATGGAAGGAACGAGAATGTAACACCAATCATGTACAGGGAAAAATTACGCTGGTTCATAATACTTAATGTATATTTTATTTCTTAAAATAAGACGTTAATCATTAAAGCGAAAAGATGAAGGCTACACACCCCTTTCAATTTAGTGTGCTCATAAATTTGCGCAAAGATATGAGCTCACAAGCTTTTCACCTTTTTTCTTTATTTTTTCCGTCTTTGTGTCTGTATTCGATTTGTTTAAAAGAAGAAGTCTGTATTTAGAAAATGGGACACACCTTTTAAAAATTAAAAAGAAAAAAGTTTATTTTCTTCGCGTCCATAGAAATTAAAGATTTCAATATCTCCACTCATGAATAGTATTTGTTTAAGTTATCACGATTTGGGGATTGTACAGCTTCATATTATTTTGTTAAAAACTCATAGACAAAAAATTTTGTTTCACTGATAACCATTAAAACTGTACTGATGCACATTGTGCGATGATTATATTGGAGAGGAACAGCTCGAAAATGAGTTACACGTGATCCATTCATACCTAGGCAAATTTTATGTTTTACCCTTCTTACTAGAACGTAAAATTAGCATATGAGACCCTTGAAAAGGATGGGAAGCAGTTATATGAGACTTTCCTCTACAATACACATAAAATCTATTTGTCAAAGGGCGAAAAAAAAAGTAGAATAAACCAGCCACCAAAAAAAAGGTTAACTACCTTTTCTTTTTTTTTCATTATACGTCAAGGAGTCTTGTAGAATTTTCCGTATTTCTAGTATCATTTTTTTTGCCACTAAATTTGCAGGGAGGTGTGTTAACAAGCCCCTTAATCAAAGTGGGACATTTATTTCCTTTTTCTTTTCTAAAGGAAGCTCCGTAAAATCTCATCAGCCATATATTTCTGGCTCCCCTTCTATCACGCATGTATATATTTATGTGTATATAATATGTGGTGATCCATAAGCCTTTTTCAGAAATAAAGCAAAATTCTCTTTGTTTCTGCTTGTTCAGTAGGTTTGCTTCTTTTTTATTTTTTTACTTTGCGCAGGTTAACGAATAGTAGCATTTCCCCTTTCACGGAAAATTAGAACACATCGTAAGGGAAAGATTTACCGCAAAACTATGTTACTTTGGCGAAAAAAAAATGGCTTAAAATTTTCTGATTTAGTGAAAAAAGGCTTCCTTCCATCTTTTTTTTTTTTTTTTTTTTTGGCTGCCATTTTTATCTATTCATTTATGAGGTTATTATATATACTTCTTTTTTCATGTGCTTTTTTTTTCTCTGCCAACATTTGTTCTACAGATAACTCTACGTACTCAACTGTTTAAAAAAAAAATTATATAAAAATATGTGAACAATTTTGGTCAAATATGTATAATCTCATATGCAAACCAAAACATGGTTTTATATACAATTAGAACGATGTGTATTTCGCAAAACAATTACAAAAAAATTGCCCTACACTTGTATATGCGCCAGCTTATAGTTTTCGGATTTAATCCTTTATATATATTATCTAAAGTTTAAGTTTTTACTTTTGAAAAATTTATTTAACACACTAAGGTTAACCGCACGTAAAAAAAGAAGGAAAAGAAGAACAAAAAAGAATTAATTAAAAAAATTGTAAAACGTATTATAAAAAAACATCGCAAATAGAAAGAACAAATTTGGCCAAATATACACTTACATATAAAGGTTTATGTCTCCCTCTTACTGTCAGGCCAACTTAATTTTAAATTAGTAGGAAAAGAAATTGTCATAAAGTATTTCTGATATATATATTTTTTGCGTCTACCTGTATACAAAAAAGAAAAAAAAATAGTGCAATCGTTGTGTTCCATTTAAGTCGACCCCCCATATATATGTATATAATAATATTATGAAAAAAAAAGGATATTAAATGATTTAATAAACCAGTTCTTGTTTTTATTTTAAATTATACATAAAATGGCCATTTATAACAAGCAGAGAACTGAAGAAAAATCAATAAAAAATTAATTTAAAAAAATTATATTAGAAAGAACTTATAAACAAATTAGAGGAATTTTTCTCACAAAATTTAGCAAAAAAATTTTCTACAAAATTGATTAGAATTAGGAAAAATTTCAAAATAGATAAGCAAATTTACCATTTTAAAAATTTGTAAAATTTACACCTTCCTCAGTTTTGTATACATGATAAAAAACCTAAATTTTCCTCATTCATTTATGAGGAACAAAAACAGAGCCCTAAGAACATATTGATGCTGAAGATATTATGCAAATAAGAGTAAAAAAATAAAGCAGTAATAATGCAAGTTTTTTTTCTCTTTATTTTGTTCACCAGTTTTTAATTTTAAGTGACTACGAATAAGACTATACTATTGAGGATAATTGAAATGAAAACTTACGTATATGTCCTTTATTACCTTAAGTTATTCGGGGTACGAAACGAAGATGGTGGCAAAATATAGAGAAACAAAAGTGACAAAATGAACCCCAATGCGCGGCAAATGGACAACCAAAAGGGAAACCAAAAGGGAAACCAAATGGGAAACCAAAGGATTCGTAAAAAAAATTATGTAAAGAAAACCACCACGCCCCCCTTAGTTGCCTATTTTTAACTCATATTTCCCCCGGCCCCCGTTTTTTTTTTTTTTTCCTAAACCTTTTCCAGAATAAAACAGCAAATGTTATCTTCCAAGGAATCAACCCATACCTTGATATAAAAAAGTACTGCTTCTGTCTTCGCGGAATATAAAACACCAGCGCACTCACGCATGTCCGTTTTTGTATATACCGGTTCGCGTCTATTTAAGCGCTCCCCTGTGCCTCCACCATTAGGAGGACCCCAGTGCACATTCACCCCCTTTTCCTTTTCACGTCCCTTCTCTCGAAATACAGTGAACAAGGGTTTAAAAAAATACATTGGCATAGAAACTTATCTAACGAATGGTACATCAAAGATGATAATATCGTAAACGATTCCGGTGTTACAATAAGAGAAGTGGACCATAGAATTAACCGAGGAGAAATATCCATTGGGAGTTCAAGTTACGACGGGGACAAATATGATGTGAGAAATTTGTTCGTAAAATTAGTAGAGGAACTCTTCTTTTCAAATTATGGAGAATGTCTACAAATGGAAAAAGCCTTATATCTTTCTATGCAACTTTTGCTAAAAGAATTACAAGATAATATAAGCAAGGATTTTGAAGACATTCTCCATGTGGCCAAAGATCACATAAACAAATTCTTTAAAAACACAAGTGCACATAATCAGAAAGAATTGGAAAAAATAATAGGACCAGATATGACCCTGAGCCTCAATGACGAAGGAAATTTAGTATTTAATGAAAAAAGTTTACGTCGCTACCTCGCTCTTACAAAACTTCAATTAAATATAGATATAGAGCAAGAATATTCAACATTTGAAAATGACGCCCTAATTAGTGACATACAACGTCGTCAAAGCGACCTTGCTCGTAAAATTTCGAAAGTAGAGGAACATATTGAAAACTATTTGCATGCAGCTTTACATAGATTTCCTCTCAAGTATTACCGTGATTCCGATTCCTTTGCAGTTATGTTTGAAAATAATGCTATGGAAATCCTGGAAGATCATTTGCATCTTCATCTGTATGATAAATACGTAGAGCATAGGGAAAAATCAAGTGCCAATTTCCGGATAGATATTATGACAGTAGATTTGTTTATCCAAGATATGCTTAGCATACTACATCACACTATTGACTACAATGTCCATACCCTCTTTGTAAAACTAAATAAACACCTAAATGGAGACCTAAAATGTTTGATAGCGTTCTTTCTGTATTTATTTAATATAGAAAAATTTAGAAATAATGACATCATAAAATCTATAAAAGAAAAAAGTGAAGACTTAGAAGGAAATAAAATTCTGTCGAATGCTTATAACTTATTTATGATAGAAAAAAGTGAAATCAACATTGCAGAAACCAAATTTAAAATTTTTGTAAAAAGTAAATTTGATTTCAATTTAGATGATAAAAAAGTTCGAACTCTCGAGAAAAAACTTTACGACATTTACCAAAATAGACAGCTCATCCAAGCCTTCAATTTAATTGCTTACCAAATATTAATCCAACGGATCGTCAAAGATTACGCACACTTTGTGGAACTCCTTAAAACAACTTCCAGCATATATCAACCAAGTTATCAGAAAGTAATAGACAAATTTGCTTTCCAAGGAAATGAACACTTTCTGACCATTCCAATAGAAACATACGAAAAATTGGTGAAGGAATATTTAAAAATTAAAGACAACAGGAATTTCCATTTTAATGACACCCTGGGTGATAATCGAAAAATAAGTAATTCCTTAGCACATCTAAAAAGGAAAATGAACAAAATTACAATTATGATGAAAATTTTAAAGAACCTCAATGAAGAGATGACTACCCTGAAGGACGTTTCGAAGCTCACTCCCGGCCAAACGGTGCGCAATAAACAGGCTATTATTTTTTATGTTCATCTAATTAGGGAATTCAAGGATGATTGGTTTTATTAGTCTATCCAGAGATGCGCCATTTAAATATGTACATAATGTGAGTGTAACTATTTCTTTCCCTATGTAAAAATATGTGTACCTTTTATATATATACACCAATCCCCTGACGTATAATAACTGGAGTGGACACCCTCCCCACCGAACATCCCTGCTGAACTCTACGTAGCTGCACCAGGAGTTTCACATACGCACAACCGCATATGTACATCCTCCTGTATATAAATATACTCTGGCTTAAATTTTGTTTCCATTAACCTACCAATTAGTATTTGCTCACCTCCGTGTACTTATTTGTACATGTTTCAAAAAAAATTAAATTCTAGTTTCTCTTTTATTTTGTGTGTGTATCATAATTGCACTAATTTGTCAAAAGATAATTTACATATTATAGTTCTCATTATTTCCCAATCAAAACTATTTACCCTATTTTCTTCTATCAACAACAGCTTTTTAGTACAATCTTACATGAATTTACGGCAACCTCGGCAGCCACACTTGGCAGAAAAAAAAAAAAAAGAAAGAAAAAAGGAGTCAACAAAACTGGCTTTGTTTCACCCCCCTAGCAGATGAACATGTAAACGTGTAATCTACCACTCTACGTTGTATCCCTTATACACATGTTTTCACAAAAAAATAAAATAAACACCAGCCGGACTTATCCTCACTCTAACAGATTCATCCGTTGCATGGCCCTTTTACCGCGGATCATCATAATTTTAAAACAAAACAGATAAAAAAAGTTCTGTTGAAAGGGGAAATATAATAGTGATTCCCGTGAACCATGGCCGTTGGGTAAAATAAAAGAGAATAACCAAACGAATCGGTTGAGCTGGGGTCGTTGCAAAAAGGGACACCCGCCCAACTGTGCAGCTGATTAGTTCCACAGCAGCGCAATTAATAAAAAATCAAACTAGAAAAAAAAAAATTCGAAGCGATGTAGACCAATTTGAAACACTCGAATCAATTCAAACATGGGAACAATTCATTCTTAATAAAAAGCTATGAAGTGATACACCGTAAACTATACCTTTGGGGTGCATACGTAATGGGTCTAGCAAACAACTATGTCGCACTTACTCCCCAATTATGCGAAACGCCTTGTGTTGCGAAACCGCAAATTACGAAGTAATCTGCTTTATGTTGTTAATAAATATTTCCTTATGGTGCGCCGCTATAACTTTTAAAATTTCATTGATATTATCATCGTTCACCTCTACATGAAACGGGACGGACAAATATAAGTGATAGAGATTCGTTTTGATGCAATAAAACTTTTCATACTCCGCTTCCAGATATATTTGAGCAGGTAATTTGGAATCTCTTAATATGTCGTCGCACTTTTGGTACACTCTGAAAATTCTTTTCACCTTATCGAGGTTAATTTTGGAGCTATAATACTGCTTCAGGTATGGGATGTAGTAGCACACGTGAATGATGTCAATGCCCGGGATTTCTGGGAGCGCGAATGGGCAGTTTTCTGACGCTTTCACAATTTCGTCGTAGCAACCCGAGCTGATTAGCATCTGCGGAGAGCCAAAAAGAACGGGAAGGGAAAGGAAAAGCGGGGGGAGGGGATCATATGTATACATGCATGCTCAAATGTGCGCTATGTACATCCGCGTAAACTTTACTAAACGGCACGCATATCACATAACGCGCATATTATATACACGGCCGAGGGGTTATCGTTTTTGTTTTTTTTTCCCTTTAACACGTTATGTATGCAACGTTTATCCTTTCTGTTGAATCTTTCACTAACCGTTTCAATCATGGAGGTGTGTCTGGAGAGGTGGAAAAAGTCTCGGGACGACGCATACGAGCAGATGTACACGCAGCAGATTTTCTTCCTAATGTAGTTGATGTAGGCATACAGGAAAAGGCTGAAAAAGAGGGGGGGGAAATCCGAATTCAATGAATTCAGAAAGGGGAGGAAAAATGCGAAAGGAATGAATTCAGCGGGGGAAATCTCCTTTCCAGATTTTCGCGCACTTTTGCAATCAATTTTATTTTTATCTTATTTTATTCTTTTTTATCCAGCGCTTCATCGCGGCGATATTCGCCTCCACACACAGATGCGACGTAAGGCATTTTTCATTTTTTTTTTTCTCTTTTTAATACTTTGGGTTATAAATAGGCAAACAAATGGGCGTCCACGATTCAGCATTTTTAAAGGACTTCATGGACGTTATCATATTGATAAGGATTATCACGTCCATCGAATGGATAGCATACTTGGATACAGATATGCCTATAATTTTATCATGCACAATTAAGAAGGACAACAGGACGTTGTTAATTTTGAAGGAAGAAATCAAATTGTGAATTTTGTTCCGATAATCCTGTTTTAATGGCAAGGGCTCAAAACCATCAAAAATGGAATACATATTTCTAGAGCATGAAGATATTAAATTGCACATGAGGACATCAGCACCGTCCAACAAATATCTTATGTCAAATGACGGTTTTATTTGAAAAGATTTTTCAATGCTTTTGGTTAATAAAGATATAATTTGAAAATACATATAATTTAAAATCTGCAAAATGTAGTTGGTACATTCATTAGCCTTAGAAATGCACACTAAACATAAAACCTCCTTGTCCAAATAAACCACCTTGGTATTTTTACTCATAATACATTTTAAGGAATTTTTTGGGTACATTCCTGTGCACCCTTTATTTGTCTTTGTATCTGTACTAACGTCTGAAAAGGAAAATGACTCAATTTTTGATATAATTGCTAACAGAGTCCCATAAAAACTTGTCAAATTTTCTTCATTACCATATCTTGTAAAGACTGGTTTCCCAGAATAAGTGAAAATAAAAAAGTGCCTCTTATGTTTATACCACAAGGGGGTGCTTTGATCTTCATGAATTTTCTTTTTCTTAATTAAAAATTTCGAATTATTTGAACTCTCTTCAGATTCTTTATTTTCAAAATAGTGTAGACTGTCCAGATTGTTCAACTTTTCACTTTCCACTTCGTCTTTTTCTTCATTTTCGTTTTTCGCATCACACAAATGGGGCCTTCCTTCCTTGACCTTATGTTCATTTGTGATTGTCATGTCATCCTTTTGTGGACTACTTAACTCGTCCCCCTGAGAAATTTCATTTTTTGATGTCTCCCCTTCGGCGGAGTTGGTGCCTGCGTCTTCGCGCTTTATTTTTTCTTCTTTCACCGTTTCGTTTAGGTTTTTCCCCTCAGGGTCACATTTACCCTCCCCAACATTGCCAATATTGCCTCCCTTCACGCTGTCGATATCTCCCCCCACAGAATTACTCCGACCTGACTCTGCCTTTTTCTCCTTCTCTACCAAATTCGGCCTCGAAGCACTGTGCGACGAGTTGCTCATAAAGGACAAATCATCATTTAGTCCGTTTCCCAAATCATTGGTGTCCGTGACGTCCGTATTTAACGTCAGCTTCTTAGTCCCCAACTTAAAATGTTTCTCGTAACTTTTATTGATAACGGTGTTATTGTGGGAGGAGTTGTCCGACCCTTCCTCTTTATGTTCATCAAATGGTTTCATTCCGCCCTTGGTACATCGCGAAGAGGGCGAAAAATCCTTGTTGCTGTAAAAACTTTCATATTCTTCTTCCCCTAAAAAATTGCTATGGCCTTTTTTGAGCACATGGTTATCGTCCCCTTTTGGCAGCCATGTCCCATCTTTTATCGAGGAAGAATTGTCTACTCCTAAGCGGTCTCCCTGTATTAAATGCTCAGATTTGTTGTTCATTCCGTCCATTTCATTTTCTTCATCCTCAAAAAACTTTTCCAACTCGTCATCCGTGTATGAATTGTACATTTCGTCGCGAGACAACAGCCGCCCTTCGTTAATATTCCCTTTTAACAGATCCTCCGAGTGCTCCTGTGAGTGTTCCCGCGAGTGTTCCTCCTCATTGTTGAATTTCCTCTCTGAATGTCCTTTTGCCCCATTTACGCTTTCCGCATCGTAGAAGCTTACACCTTCGCTAGTGGCAGCGTGAGAAGAGCCCCCCAAAGGGATTCCATATGCAACATCACCATGGTGGTCACCATCGCGGTCATCACCATCACAATCGTCGTCACTTTTTCTTGCACCAAAAACCGACTCGGAGGATACCCCCGAAACGTTAGCACAGTTAGATGGGCTTCTATTGATCTTTCCATTTGCGTTATTTCCTTCTTCGTCAAAAGGAATTTCCATCTTCCGATAAATGGAACATTTAAAATTGAGGGGAAGGAACAAGAAACAAAAAGGAAGCTTTAAGGGAAACCTTTTTTTTTTTTTTTCTATGGTATATATTGCTACATAATTTCTTGTATAATATTTGGGTACATTCCTTTTTCTCGCGCTTTCTGCTTATTTATTCTATTTTATTTTTTTTTTTCACTTATTATTTGCAACGTAATAAGGACAAATTCGCTCTTAAACAATTATTTTACTTTACCCTTTTCTATAAATAATGAAAAAAAAGTTGACCTCACAGTTTCCACGCGTTTGCGAAATACGATGCAAATTCTGTTGAAACGGTTTGCCCTGCAAAATGCTATATTTCGCGAACTTTTTTACAAAAAGAAGAAAGTCATTTTGAAGGAAATCTCAAAACGGGAACGCGTAACTATACGTAGGGACAAACAAGGAAGGCCTACCTAACATCATGTTAAGAAAATAAAAAATTCCTGAGGGAAAAAATTAAATACACACCAGGTGTAGCAACAGGGCTGAATTAATTCACCTCTTCCTCGTACCTCCGCACATTAGAAAGAACGACGAATTGTCTCTGTGATACAGAATGTTACAAGACGAAAACATCTGTTAACTATATACACATCTTAAAATTAGGACGGGGACAGGAAAAACATCTTGTACGGAACCATAAACCGTTGAACAAAATAAAATTTAGAAAAAAAAAAAAAAAAAAACGGGAGAACAAGAGTAAAACGCATTTCACAGGTAAACAAAAATGTGTCAAATAATTTTAAAAGGGCTTGGGAATGAAATTCCTTTTCTGGATAATCT